TACCCCATTATCAATTACTATCTATATTGCACTGGGAAACATAGCCAATTAAATCATTGAAGACCCTCTGTAATATAAGCATACAGCCCTTTCTTACAGACTGTTAAGTTTAAACAAGATAATTCTTTTCAGTTTAATGAACATCTTGCTTTGCATATGTCATGCTTTGTGTACTGCTACTGACAGTTTGTTAGTTACAAAATCAGCATTTTTGTCCTGGGAAAGTCTAGCTCCCAGTGTATCTCCCATAAGAAGTACACTTATAACTAAGCAGTTCCATTATACTCACGGGCATTTCCAGGGGTGGGATTCACTTACTTTCCCCACCGGTTCGCAAATGTGAGGATGCACTTCACTCACACGCGTCCCGTCCATGCATGTGCCTGGCCTTCCATGTATATGCTTTGCTGGCATGTGCATCTTCTGCGCATGTACCCAGCCTCAAAAACGTGCCTAAATAGGATGGCATAGAGCCGGGGTGGATGGGTCCACCCATGATTTCTGCTACCAGTTCGAGCGAACCAATCCGAACCAGCTGAATACCACCGGCTGAATACCACCTCTGGCATTTCCCTCTGAGTAAGCATTCTCATGATTGCATCATAAAGAGATGCAACAATACTACCATTTGTTAATATTATTATAATAAAAAACACAGAGGAAAGATGTATATATGCACCCATTTTTCTCCAATTAAGCATTCTTCAGATGTTAAGTCTAGAACTCCCAAAGTGTTCAGCCAACATCTTATTATGAATTTTGAAAGTTATACCTTAACTCATCTGGAGATTGAGAAACGATCCTAAAAATCCATTTTGGTCTATTATGTATATATTTTTAAAAAACAATTGCACAGTTTTTTAAAGCTGTATTTTTTGTGCCAAATAATTGAAGGCTGTATTTTAACAAAAACCAATTGCATTTATTACTTCAGCTTTTCCTATAAAAGTCTAAAAGAAGGCTTTCTTTAAAAAAAATATTTTCCACATGGAAATGTTATTAATCATATGAAAGCTGGGAAAGCAAGAATAAGAAATTCCAAAGTAGGATTTCAACTGGATATTTTTCCTTTGAAAAGGAAAACCATCTCTGCAACCATTAGAAACCACTGAAAATATATTTTAAAGACTTTTTAGTTTTATGTAAAGTGCCTTAAAAAGCAATATATTTGGACTTCCATTGGAGGGAACTAACTACCATCTAACAATCCTATTATTATAACTGTATAGATTGGACGGACTGTCTGAAAGAACCTGACACCCATGGCCTATAGTTTGAAACTATATAACCTCTGATCTTACTGTGATGGAAGCAAATTTATATCATGACAACATCAGCAGAAATTGAAAATGAATGAACTCTTGGGTTGATATTTAAGAAGGGCAATGACTTGTGTTGAACTCTAAGCACTGTAAATAGGCAACAAACTCCAGGAAGTTAAAAACTAAAATATCTGCTGTAGCTAGAGCCCAGTATTCCTAATATGCAGTTTTGAAAGAATAAACCTTAATTGCAAAGAACTAAAGTGTTGCACAACATAATCCTTCATAAAACAGTAGATCACATAATAGACTCAAAATCAGTCCTCCTGAGAAGCCAGCATCATCAGACTTTGCCTCTCCTCAATTCTCATCTAGCAGCCCCTGCATCATCAGTTACATAGGAAGTTGAGCCACAGCGACTTTAGCCTTCTTCATTCTGCCATTTAAATTCTAGCTATTCATAGGAAGATATAAAAGAAAGATATTCCAGCTGAATTAAAGCTTTATAGTTTGCTGTTAAAAGTTCTATTTTTTAATGTTTGTTTTTAATTTTAAGCCTGAGGATAGATTCAATCTCTTATTGATCTTTAAATTACTCTGGAAATGTTTATGACTGAATACTAGGTGCAGGTAGTTCTCCTTTAATGACTGCTTCACACAATGATCATTCACAGTTATGAAAAACTACTAGCTCTTGATTGGGGTATTTACTTCTTGATTTTTGGTCTGATGTTAATCTTGGTGTTGAGTTATACTCTTGAGTGTTGATTGCTGGTGGAGAGATGTCTGGAGCTTTTTATTCCCTCTTTGGCTTGTTGATTGTCTTTTTTGCACTATGTTGTTTATGCCAATATGTCTACTGATGGCCAATTTGTTAGCATGCCAAGCTTCCAGGAATTCTCCAGCATTTTTGAATTTGGCTTGGTGCAATGGTGAAATTCATTTTTTTTTACTTCCGGTTCTGTGGGCGTGGCTTGGTAGGTGTGGTGTGGCTTGGTGGGCGTGGCTTGGTGGGCATGCCAGGGGAAGGATACTGCAAAATATTCATTCCCACCCCACTCCAGGGAAGGATATTGCAAAATCCCCATTCTAGTGGTGGGTTGCCCCCGGTTCACACCGGTTCTATAGAACCGGTAGTAAAACCAGTGGGAGGCTCTGCCCACCAATCCCAACGTCATCAGAACGCTTCTGCACATGCACAGAAGAGTGCGAGCACGGCCCCGTTGCGAACCGGTAGTAAAGGTAAGTAGAACCTACCCCTGCACCTTTCCCTCCCCACTCCTGGGGGAAGGATATTGCAAAATCTCCATTCCCACCCCACTCTGGGGCCAGCCAGAGGTGGTATTTGCCGATTCTCCAAACTACTCAAAATTTCCGCTGCTGGTTCTCCAAACTGCTCAAAATTTCTGCTACCGGTTCTCCAGAACCTGTCAGAACCTGCTGGTTTTCACCCCTGGCTTGGTGTAGGATGGTCACAGTTTCCCAGTTGAAACTTGGTAGAGCCTTGGTAGTACAGTGGTTTAAAGCACCCTGTTATTAACACAGCTGCCTGCAATTATTGCAGGTTCGAATCTTACCAGGCTCAAGGTTGACTCAGCCTTCCATCCTTTCTAAGGTAGGTGAAATGAGGGCCCAGTTTGTGGGGGCAATAAGCTGACTTTGTATAAATATACAAAAGTATGAAGGCTATTGCTTAACGCATTGTAAGCTGCCCTGAGTCTCCGGAGAAGAGCGGCATATAAATCAAATTAAAAAACAAAAAACTATGGTTAAACCTGTCTATATGTTGTGAGATTAAAGAGTTGCCATTATGTCTTCTGACTGCCAGTTGATGTTCATGGATGCATTCTGCTAGTCTCCTGTCTGTTTGTCCTACATGGGCTGTTGCAATCTTTATACTGTATGTTGTGGATGGCTCCTGTTTTTTTCTTCTGACGCTGCTAGTTCTTTTGTTTTACTTGGGATATTCTGGAGGATTTTACTTAGTTCGTGTTCTATGCGGTTGTAATAGTTTATTGGTGTTTCTGAGATGTTTTTGATGTATGGCAGTGTTATCCTTTTTAAGGCTTGTGTTGGTTGTGCTATATTAGGTTGAATGGTCAGGTGCTTTTTGATGAAGTTTCCTTTTTCTGCTGTCCAGGCTTGGCATAGTGAGTGCCTGTCTAAATAGAGTTCTTACATCGGAGCCATGAAATTATAATATTTGAATATGAAAGATAGGGAAAATAGTAAATAATCCTATTAACTATATTTACCTGAATAAATAAATAAATTCAATTTTGTTTTTATGTTGCCTCCAACCACTTCTTCTGACTCTTCCTGCTTTTTGACTTACAACCCTGGTGGTCTAATTAAACACCCACATGTTTCCTCTAGTTTTACAACCTTGACTTAAATAAATAAACAAACAAAGTTAAACTTGGTGAAGTTCTCTTGCTGCCAAAATGTGTCCTTCATCACAGACTTGAATCATAACCAAGAAGTACAGAGAACAGGAAGAGTGGTGTGTGTTATTAATTTACATTTCTATTTTCTCCAACATACATTATATTGCAAGATACTGGATTATCCTTGATCAGGGATGCAGAAGACCATCAGGTATTTATAAAAACATGTCCCAATTCTTAAGCTTTACAAATTATTGCAGGCAGTTCCAAGTTTAACCAATATCACAACTCTAGTCACGATGTTGATATATCTTGCTGCTCTGACGTATGAAGGTGAAATCTATTTCTAAAAATATTTCATAACTGACCCAGAAGAATACAGACAAAAATTACTTGTAAAAGATATCCGGCAAGATAAAGCAGATAATCAAGAACAGTTATAAACTAAGATTGGTAAGGCCAGATCATGTATTGAATAAACAGAATGATACGAGGCTAACTGGCATATTGGGAACTGTAATGTTAAAGTCTGTAATAAATAAAGGGAGAATGGGAATCTTTGGACAACTGTTATTGTTGCTGGAGCTGCATTTTTAATAGTAAAACTTGGAAGCATAAATATTGCTGAAATTGAAGCCAGCTACTGGAGCCTGAAAGGTTCATCTTAGTTGTTTTCCCTCACAGCATATAAAAGAGTACATTTGTAGCAATAAGATTAGAAGAGGACTAGAGGTAGCAGCAAAGATTTGCAAACAAAGACATTTGCAATTGGTTTACAGATCTATCCAGAATAATGTAGACTAAATGTCAGAAAGCATAGGGCTTTCATCTCAAAGGGTGGACAAAACCATTTTCTCTTCAAGAAGGCATATATCTAGGTCACTAAACATTTATTTTTTTCAAATCAAGACTGACGTATATCAGATATAAGACCTCATGCCATGAAGAAAATTTATTATTGAATTTTGTCTGTATGTGAAAATATTTTGAGGGGAAAGCAGAATTTGGTGCATAACGTAGTAATTTATAACCTTTACATCCCCATGTCTTCCTGCAAAACATTATTTTTCAATATAACAGCATGATCCCAGCCAATCAGCAATCATATGCTGAACATGTTGATCCTATGGTTCCATGCCACTAGTGAGATTTGGTTTTGAATTAATATCAAGGAGGAAAAAAAAGAATTGTACTATAACTCCCTATGAAAATTCTAGTTCTATTGAATGTTTTCCAAGTGGAATCCAGAGGATCAACTAACTGAAAATATTTCAGAAAAGCCACCTTATGTACTCTTATGAATTGCATCTGTAACGTTTTATTCAAAGCCAAGAAATCAATGGAGACTTACTGCTTGTGGTATTGTTACTTTCCCCAACCTGTGGAAGGGGATCTGCATCCTGAATAACTTGTAATACTCCAACTGTCCGGATAGGAGTATCCACTGCTATGGAGCTTTCATTCACAGTGATATCACTAGCTCCTGTAATCTGATTGGTTGGGGGCCCTCCTATAGAAGCTTCAAAATCCGGAGGGATGTCATCCACACAATCTGCATTAGGCTAAAAGAAATGAAAAAGAAGAGAATTATAGAATTGGGAAGAAACTTTGTAAAAGATAATGTTCAGGAGCAATATCGATTGAAAAAGTTTCCCTCTGCCCCAAAATCATCCTTACAATTTGATATATTTGATTCCATCTTAATATGTTATCAGGAAACCTATCGTTAACTATTTATTTTTATTTAATTTTAAACAAAAATAAAAGTCAATGGAGACTATATTAATTTGTATATTGAGCTGAAAATAAATGGTCATATCAGAAATTTGTTAGGATAGAATTTTGTTGAAAATTGCCTGGGATTAAAACAAAACTCAATTTATCAATAAATAACATTTTCACATAAATTGGAATCCAAACTATTTTATACTTACTATGGCCATTCCTTTTTTTTTTTTTTGACAGCCATCTCTTCTCAATAACACATTACATGTACTTCTACTTCATAGCATCGATTCAGTTAAAATATTAAGAGAGAAACACATATAAAAGAGTACTTTTTAATCAAGCAAATGCAATCTTTAACTTTTTAATACCAGTACTGAGTCTACAATGAAACAGTCTTCCACACTTAAAAGGCATAAGTAACTAGTGTTTTTCTGGAACGAAACTAACTAAGCCCAAGCTGTTTGGGAATCAGGAAAAGTTATAATTCAATACAGCTGAAGGGTTTCTATTTTTCTTTCTACAACTCCTTTTTTCTGAACCTTCACTGCTTTAGAAAACTCAAGATTTAAGGAATTCGTTGTGTTTTAAAACAATGTATCAGCTGTTACACCAATACAAATAGCACTTAGACTTATATACAGCTTCACAGTGATTTTACAGCCCTCTCTAAGCAGTTTACAGTCAGCATATTGCTCCCAACAATCTGAGTCCTCATTTTACCGACCTCGGAAGGATGGAAGGCTAAGTCAACCTTGAGCCTGGTGAGATTTGATCTGCCAAACTGCTGGCAGCTGGTGATCAGCAGAAGTAGCCTGCAGTATTGCACTCTAACCACTGCACCACTGCGGATCACCAATACAAATGGTACCAGTTTTAAATAGCTACTCTATTTAAGTTTGTAAGTATACAAAATGGCCATAGAATATTCGGGTCTTTTATGCTGCATTGGAATATATTACGTGCTTTTGCTTAAAAATTAGTATACATGATTTGCTTTTCATTATAAAAAATTTGCAGAAATACAGTTTTACTTACTGTATTACTTGGCATGCTTACCGGAATCCCTAGTGCTTTTAGTATGTTCATTTTACACATAGGACAGGTACGATGATCTAGGAGCCAGGGATCTACACAAGATTTGTGAAAGAGATGCCTATGAAATGGAGTAAAATTATATTTAGTTCAACGGTTTTTTTTCTACAGGTCGAAATTGTCAAACATTAAGTTGAAATAATTTGTTCGGCAATATAAAGAATCTTAACTAACAGTATATTTGTGTAGCAAACTTTTTTATCAATAGAAAAAGCTAAAAATGAAGTCAGAGCTGAAAAACAGAATTATTTTGGAGGTGATTATGAAGCAGTATTAGAATAAAAAAGGAACAAAAAAAGTGGATAGATAACTTTTCATTATTATAAATATTATAAATAATTATTATAGAAACTTTTAAAAAAATATACAGACATCACTTTTGGATGTGTGTGAAAAACAGCATAAATAAATGAACTGTCCGTAATAACAATTCCAAACTTAGATATAGATAATAAAAATTTGTCCCAGTATGATAAAGAAACAATTCATTGTACTTTATTTGTGACACAAGTGGTAAATTTGTCATAAATGTTAAGACACATTTATACTCATCCCAAATATTATGACATCACAGAATGATAAATATACAAACCTCTATATCAGGCAATCTAATGAAACTTGAAAAAAGATTCTGATTGTTTCTTAAAATCAATTACTTTATTAAAATAAATTTGTTGGGATAGTGATAATAACTTACCGGCAAGGCAAAATCCTAACAACATCATTTGGTTTGTAACCCTCAATACACACTGCACAGTTGTCAAAATCAGACTCAGTTTCCTAAAAAAACCCAATAATAATAATACTAATTAATATTTTTAAATAACAAAAATGCAAGTTGAGTGAAACTCGGAGAGATGTGTCCTTATTGATGTGGCCAATATCGATGTGCAAATGAATGATGGTAGGAGCCTGAGTGGCGCAGCAGACTAATGCTACTGTTAAAGGTAGTATTTAGCTTCCAGCTGCCTGCAATTACTCCGAGTTCAATTCTCACCAGGCTCAAGGTTGACTCAGCCTTCCAGCCTTTCTAAGGTAGGTAAAATGAGGACCCGGTTTGTGGGGCAATAAGCTGACTTTGTATAAAATATACAAAAGTATGAAGGCTATTGCTTAACACATTGTAAGCCGCCCTGAGTCTCCGGAGAAGGGTGGCATATAAATAAATTTAAAAAAAACTGTCATGGTTCCCCCGCCCCCCTTTTTGTCTATGGAGAGTCTAAACTCCAATCACTATGAAAATGGTAGCTTTGCACAAGGGTGAAATCCAGCAGGTTCTGACAGGTTCTGGAGAACCGGTAGCGGAAGTTTTGAGTAGTTCGGAGAACCGGCAAATACCACCTCTGGCTGGCCCCAAAGTGGAGTGGGAATGGAGATTTTGCAGTATCCTTCCCCTGCCACATCCATCAAGCCACACCATACCCACCAAGCCACGCCCACAGAACTGGTAATAAAAAAAATTGAATTTCACCACTGGCTTTGCATGAACCTTCTTTAGGTTTATCCAATCTTCTGACCAGTCTTTACCCTCTCCATTCTGTAGTTACAAGTAAAAAACTTCTAGTTTTTATTTTTTTAAATTATTATTTTGTCCTTAATATTGTCTCTGAACAAAGTGGTCATTTCTAAAGAGAAGCATTTTTTAAAATTACCTTATCTCCTTTCCTTATTGTTCTGACTTGGAGTTTGCTGATTGCTTTCTTTGCAGCATCTCCAAGTCGGCGCTGAAAAGAAACAAACAAACAAACAATCATTTTATACTTATGGGATAAACTTTCATACAGATTACTTCTTGCATTAATAATAGTTGCAGACCATTTAAAACAAAAGAAGTAAAAACAAGAACTAAGGAAAAGAGTCATTTTCCAGGCTTTAGATTCTGGAAGACTAAAGGGTGGGCATCAGGAGGTCTGACTATGTTTGCCAATGCAAAGCTCGGCTGGCAAGTATATGAATTGGTCTTGATGACTCTCCCCATTATTTTGCTGTAAAATGTTTATATTAATTCTCTGAGATGGTTCTACTGAACATGTATCTACCAACACATGCATCTTCCCAATTTTCTCCTAATCCTTTGGTGAATCTAGAAAAGACAGTGCTAAACTCAAATCACTCTAAAGCTACTATAAAATTAGCAAGAGACTTTTATGTCTTTAGAAGATTTTGTACACCTAGGTGTTATTCATGAGGATAATATTCATTGCGGGGCCCCTCGACAGACTATCCAGCACATAGTGAAGGAATACCCTAACAGAAGATTCTAGGGACTTCCTCTGCATAACAACGGCAGCTACTGACTGGATCTCCAAACTCGACATTAAACTTTGAAATGTTATTTCTGTTTTCCTTTTAGGTTTTCTTACTGCTTTTTTATTGTTTTGTTTTTAACCTGTAAAAATGAAGTGTTTTAATGCTGTGTGTGACCAGCCATACGCTAAATAAATGAATAAATTCATGAGGATTATCTTATAAATAACCCACTTGATTCTTTAGAGACCTCAAAATAAATACTGCAGGCTGATAACTGATCTCCTTGATTTATAAATGTAACCTCCATATTTGAAGAGGTAAAGAACCTGGTTTTATATATAACTCAGTTATAAAGTTTTAGATTATCTATGTATTACATAAAACAAGGTTGCTGTTTTCAGACATCCAAGCCCACATAAGGAAGGACAGCAATCATCAAGTAATCACAGTCCATTTCCAAAGCAGATCTGATACTAGATTAACTATGCCTCCAGAATAGAGGCTATTAGCTAATCTTGAAGTGAGGCAGAATAGAAAGCTCAATTAGGCAAAAGCAAGGCATTATCTACTTTTCTGAATACAGAACATGTCCAGACTTGGATAAAATTTTCTCCTTTATCCAAGGTCCAGATAAAATCTTGACTCATTACATTTGATTTGTGTCTTTCTGAGAAAATCCTTGACCGATCGATTTCCAGAAACCAACAGCAAATAAGTTCAAATTGGTTTGATTCTGCCTACTTATATACCAGAAAGTTTAGAGCAGTAATGCATCAGGTCCAGGGACACCCTAATGTAAAATAAACATGCTAAATTGTAATAAGGTGTCATTACAAGAAAGTGACAGCCTCCCAAAAAGTTTCCTACACAACTAAAATATGGTCAGATCTGGAAGGGAGAAATTCAATTTTTTTTCTGGAATATTGTATCAAGTTTATTAAAGGAACATAAATTCTAGTTCAATATTCTTATTCCAGCTTCAGTTTGGGAGGATTTATATGTAAATGTACTTACTAATATAACTAGGGCCCCCAACGTAAGAAAATTATTGATACTCTAGTCTTTAAAAACCTTTTTCCCTGGCCTCTAATGTCAGTATCAGAAATCAAATTCATTATCCAATCTCTAGATTCTTATAAGGCACCTAGAGAAGATTATTTTTATCCCCAGAACTCTTCAAGAAACATATTGATTGGTGGGCTCCATTGTTAAGAGGGTTGTTATATCATATAATTTTTATTTATTTAGGAAATTTATATGGCCTCCTACTCGCTCACAGCTACTCTAGATGGTTTACAAACAATAAAAACAGAACAAAACAAACAAACAAACATAGAAACAACACACAGTCAAATGAGCCATTTGATGGGCTCCATCTCTCTCTCTGGGTTTCCCAGGCTCACTGACAAAACCAAGTCTTCAGGGCTTTACAAAAGATTGTCAAAATGGGAACCAGTTTAATTTCTGCAGGGATGATATTTCAAAGTGAGGGTGTATCAGTGTATAAGAAATTATGAGCTGGGATAGCCATAACAACAAGTCAGCCAATGGGAACTGTTTGGTGACTAAGAAACAGGATCTGTTGTGAGCCATGGGAGACAGCTTGGAGCCTAGGCGTGGCTTAGCTTAACTGGTCTGTATATAAGAGTTTTTTTGTCCTTAGACTATAGCTTCTCTGATTATATAGCTTCTGTTGTTCTATGCTTCTGCTTCTTGTCCTTGTACTTGCTACCACATTGCAAGAGCTGCATGGGTATTTTATACATGCATCATGTTTTATATTATTGTATATAAACAAGTTTCTTCTATAAAGGAATCCTGGTGAATTATTTACTTGTGTGCTGGTTGGATTGTTGCAAACTCTGACAGGTTATGGGCCCAGAATACACCAAGTACACAGTAAGACTGAACTGTAATTAAGATGAAGGACAGCCTGTGTTATAAGGAAAAGAGAACAAGGCTGAGAAGGCTTGCAGGATGGCTGTTGAGTTCAAGGAGAGCTCTCTGCCTCGATTCTTCTGGGACAGAAGAATTATATTATTTGGGCTGCAAAAATGGAATGCTTCCTGAAGGCTACAGAGTTCTGGGATATTATTAATCCACTCCAGGCACTATTAGCAGCAGCAGATCAATGGCAACATGATAAGGCCTACATCATCTTAAGTTTAGAAGATGAACAATTATTGAATATAGCTGATTTAAAAACTGCAAAGGAGATTTGGCTGAAATTGAGAAGTGTTCACGTGAGTGTGTCAGCATGCAATATTGTGCAATTATTGAGATTATTTATTTATTTATTTATTTATTGGTTCAATTTATAATAGACAGTTGTGCTTCTGTGATTATATAGCTTCTGTTCTGTGCTTCTGGATTCTGAATTCTGTGCTTCTTCTTCTTGTCCTTGTACTTGCTACCTTGTTGCAAGAGCTGCATGGGTATTGTATACATGCATCATGTTTTATATTTTTGTATATAAACAAGTTTCTTCTATAAATGAATCCTGCTGAATTATTTACTTGTGTGCTGGTTGGATTGCTGCAGACTCTGACAGGGTGCCACCATGGAGAAGGTCCTTCTTCTGAGTCCCGCCAGATGTACCTCCTTAGGGGTTGGGACCCGCAACATTCCTTGCCTCCCCATTCTAGTGGGTCAGGTGGATGTGACCAGCAAGAGATGGTCCCCCAGATAATCTGGTCTCAAACCATAAAGAGCTTTAAAGGTGACAACCAGCACATTGAATTGCACCTGGAAGCAAATCGGCATCCAATGCAGCTCCCGCATAAGAGGTAAATAATACAGGTTGCATCCCAGTCAGATAAGAAATCATCATTATATTCCCCATATGTAAAAAGGGAGAAAAGGCGACCCCAAAAAATTATAGAGCAGTGAGCCTTATTGGAATTGTGGCTAAAATGTATGCAAAACATCTTTTGAACAAAATAGAAAACTGGGTAATAGAAATAAATTGCTTAGTGGAGGAACAAGCTGGGCCAGAGTGCTCCACAGTAAACAATTTGTGTTATTTTACACCAGTTGTCACTACACGTATATTGAAATCTTCCACCCCTCACAGCTGTTGCTTCAGGTCAGGGTGGATAAAAATCAATGATTTTTTTTAAAAAATCAAAAAAATAAGATTTTTTTTATTTAAATCGGATTTTTTTTATTTAAATTGGATTTTTTTTATTTTTATCGAATTTATTTTAATAAAAAAAATTTGGGGTAAAAATCTATCGTAAGATAGTTTTCTATTTAAAATACATAAATAATTTAGTTTATTCAGCATGAGATGGAGCTTAGTTATGTAGCATGAGGCTGTATATTCTGCAACACTGGGACTATCGGTGAGTCAACAGTGGGTCAAAGGAGTAGCAGAGATGACAGTTGCTCTTTAAAAATTATGATTTAAATCGAGTTGATTTAAATCAAGCCTTTTTACTAGTGATTTAAATCATGATTTAAATTGTGATTTAAATCAACTCGATTTAAATCAAATCCACCCTGCTTCAGGTGCAAGAGAATTTACCTGTAGAGATTGTTGTGGGGTGGTGGTGTCGCTGAATAAGGCAATCAGTAAACAAGACTTGTCTGTATTGCAAATGAACTGATTTTAAAAGATAAAGGAGTTAACAAAATAAATATTATTTCAATCTATTTTTACATTGAGGATAGCAAAACCCTTTTTATTACCTCCCTGTTCACTTGGGAAATTTATGCCACATTTCTTCATGTAAAACTGGAATTGGAATAATTTCTTACCCGTCTGTTCCCAATTCTTTTGTCTCAAAGTAACATTTTAGGTTTCAATAAAGACACAGCAATACATATACACACCAGATAATATTTCAAATAGTTCTCTCTTTCTTTCTCTCATTGTGTGTATGTCAGTGGTGGGTTGCTCCCGGTTCGGTAGTAATGGCGGTGGGAGGCTCACCTGCCCACCTACCCCGAGGTCATCACTGATGATCTGTGCATGCACGCTCCCGTTGCGATCCGGTAGTAAAGATAGTGGAATCCACCCCTAGTGTATGTGTGTTTGTGATGTGTGTGTGTTTGTGTGTGTGTGTACCCATATGCATATATGCATATAAAGATATTGCGTTATTCTTTAAAAAACCATGCAGTGGATGATTTTAAAAAACCTATCATTTTTTAAAAAGGCAAAGGGACAACTAGCTGTGGAAGCAGGTAACATAGTAATATTTGGATATTTTGGAGTACCTGTCTTAAGATATCCCATTCACCATCCTGTTAGTTGTAGAATACAGGAGTGACAATTCTAAACTTCCAGACACTATTTTTTATATAGAATTTTTTTATTTTTTAAATATAATAATTCCATCTTCAATTAAACTGATAAAAATAGGATCGCCAATATGATCGCTGATGTCCAATGATGGATATGGCACAAGAAGAAAAAGTCGTCCAGGTACAAATAATCAACATTAAAACAGTATTCATTACATTAACATTAATTCTATAATATTAAAATGATAATATTAAACATAATAATCATAACATTTGCTTTTTTCTCTTAACATATCTTCTTTATTTCACTAATCTTTTTCTTTTGTTTCCCTGTTTCTAACTTCCATTCTTGTTATCTAACCTTTGATAAAATAAGTCCCATGTCATGTAGTATTCAGTTTGTTTTTTCTCCTTAATTGCTAACATTAGTCTATTCATTTCTGCACATCCTAATATTTTCCTGATCACATTCTCATCTGTGGGAATCTCTTCACTTTTCCAATTTTGTGCAAATACAATTTTAGCTGCAGTTAATATATGAATAATTAAATATGCATTCTCCTTACTATATTTTTGGAGTACCTGTCTTAAAATATTCCATTCACCGTCTTGTTAGTTGTAGAATACAGGAGTGGCAATTCTAAACTTCCAGACACTGTCATTTTACCAACTCTTGTATAAATCATTTGTGCTGATTGGTGAGTTGTAGCCCACGAACAGAAATATATTTCTGCGCTTAGAGAATAACCCAATCTTCCCATTTTCTCTTTTGCTGCTTAGATATGAAGCCACTGCCGTTCCAGACTGAGCAGTGGAAGAAAGGAATGCAAAAAACATAAGTCTAATCAAAGGTCAGGGAACATGCCAAGCAGAGGAACAAGGCAAGCCAACATATGAGATTTCTTGCAACGTATGAGTTACTGAATATAGATCAATTAATTAATCAGGCACAAGATTAGTTGCTGCTATGTATTATCAATTAAATGTTCAAAGATTTGTCGACTGGATTACATTGCTATGTTTCTTTTCCATATATATTAAACACTGACACATGCTTTGACTCAACAGTTTAAAACATGGAACAAAAAATAAAATTATAAAAGTGTAATCTAGGAATACACAAGTGCTTTACTGTTTCTGGAATCACTGCATACCAGTGAAATACTGCACCTACCTAGAAATGCACAATACAGACTTTTGATGTATCTGCTAGAGTGTAGTACATTGTAATATAGAAATTTCAGATTTGTTCTTCAGCTGATGCAAGTATATTAGAATAGATAGTTATTTATTAATAAATACTTATAACACTACATTATATAGGTTCTGTGATAAATCTCCACAGATTTGGAATGGAGGGAGGTGTGAGAAAGGGGCTGAGCTTAGAGTCCTTGCACAGGTCTATGACGATTTGCTGCAGCCAACTTGCCATGGCCAACTTGCTGCAGGACAACTCGCTGTGGGACAAGAGTTACACTAATATCAAAGAAATGGTGGAACAGAATCATTAAAGAAAGGATGCAAATGGAAGAACAGAATGAATTGTGAATGGCGAAAATTAAAATATTTTAAAATTTATTTAAAAAAATTTTTAAAAATATTTTTAAGTAGAAATCTATTTATTAAGTAGAATTGTTAAATTATCCCACAGTAAGTTGTCCCTCAGAGAATTGGCCATGGCAAGTTGTCCTGTGGCACGTTGGCCATGGAGAGTTGGCCACTGCGAATTGGCTGCTGCGAATTCGCCACTGTGAGTTGGTTGCTGCAAGTTGACTGTGGTGAGTTGGCCACTGCTAGTTGGCCGCTGCTAGTCACTATGAGTTGACCATGGTGAGTTGGCTGTGGCAATTTGGCTGCTGCGAGTTGGCCATGGTGAGTTGGCTGTTGCGAGTTGGCTGTTGCGAGTTGGCCATAGTGAGTTGGCTACTGTGAATTGGCCGCTGCAAGTTGACTGTGGTGAGTTGGCCACTGCAAATTGGCCATGGTGAGTTGGCCACTGCTAGTTGGCCATGGTGATTTGGCTGTGGCAATTTGGCTGCTGTCAGTTGGCCATGATGAGTTGGCCGCTGCCAGTTGGCTGCTGCCAGTTGGCCACTGTGAATTGACTGGCGAGTTGACTGTGGTGAGTTGGCTGTTGCAAATTGGCCATGGTGAGTTGACCACTGCTAGTTGGCCGCTGCTAGTTGGCTGCTGCTAGTGGGCCACTGTGAGTTGACCATGGTGAGTTGGCTGTGGCAAGTTGGCTGCTGCCAGTTGGCCATGGTGATTTGGCCGCTGGTAGTTGGCCACTGCGAGTTGGCTACTGTGAGTTGACTGTGGTGAGTTGGCTGTGGCAAGTTGACTGCACAAGTTGACTGTGGCAAGTTGTCCCATTCCATCCTTTGCACAGCAGAAATCAGTGTAGCCTCCCCCAGACTCCCTGAAATATTATTTCACCATTGCCAAGAGAATGCAATCAGTCTTGCAAACTGGCATTACAACACTGAAGAAGTAATTTGATTTACTGACCACGTGGGTCTGGTTCCTTGTGCCTGACAGTTCTGACCAATTTACATAAAATATTTCCAAATCATAACTCCAACTTGCCAAGCTTCTGGCTTATGTACCCTTTGGAGTTCCCTGAGTTTGGTTGTTTGCTTTCAGACATTTAATTACCCAATTAGGCAATTAAAAACCTGCATCTAAATGTATAATGGATGTGTAATCTATGTGATATATTTTAACTTACATGTTTTCATTATGTGTTTTTTTATCAAATTGTAAAAGTTATAATCTTACCAGGTTTCAGGAAAAAATGCTTTTTTTACTCATAGGACATAAAATGTTCATCTAAAGTTATCTGAAATATATTAAACTCATATGTTTTGTACTGCAATATAAATAAAAATATAAAGAAAATAATCAATTAATAGATTTTAATATAAGGAAAAATGGATCGATTCAACTATTTACTGTACTAAGATTCCTTTGCATTTAATGTCCATCTCCAATGGAAATAATTTTTCTTAATTTTTAGCTTAAAATTTTTGAAACATATTGTGATACAATGTTTTTCTCTCCTCTTTTTCAAAGTTATCTTCCAAAAAACACTCATTTTCTCAGTCTATTTCTCTCAGAAGCACTCTTACATTCTTACACCCAGACACACAAACATACATACATTATTAGACTGGTAGCCTATCCAAGAATGTTCCTATTTATTTTTCCAGTCCCTGTGCTGAATTTTCCAGGCGATTTTCATCTGTCTTCCAGCTCCAGGTTATTTCCTCTCTTTGCTTTTTTTTCTTTGGAATTATCTAGGCTGAAGGATAATTTTGATGACCCATATTAGTGGCACTATCACATCAAGCTGCAAATTCTCGCACTCAATTAAGAAATAGTGAAATATATTGTGGTGCTTATTAATTCAATGCATTGGCTGCATTATGGAATATGAATTTTATTAATCCGTTCACTGATGTATTTCAAATTAAAACCTATATTAAACAACATTTTGCTAGCTTATGTGCCTTAGATAAGTGGAGAAGGACCTTGCTCCATGATGGTGAACCTATGGCATGCGTGCTACAGGTGGCCCTCTCTGTGGGCACACAAACCTTTGCCCCAGTTCAGCTCTGCCGTGCATGCACCTCCCACCAGCCAGCTGGTCATCGGGTCTCTGCTGTGCATGCACAGGGGCGGGGCATGTGCGGGGGACACACGTGCATGCGCGAGACAGGGCACACGCGTAGGGGCAGGGACATGCACATGGGCGGGGGGCATGCGGGGGGCACACGAATGCACAGGGGGGCAGGGCGCATGTGGGGGGTTCCGTACATGTATTGCATTTTGGGGGTTTGGCCGCACGTGCATTCGTACGTGTGTGTTTTGGGCACTCAGTCCGGAAAAGGTTAGCCATCACTGACCTAGCTGATCAATTTCCTGTTCTTTGTCCCTATCTTTAACTGTATGAACTACATTTTTCTTTATTTCTTCTAGAAATGTAAAATAAAGAATGAATACTCTCTTTAATACTTATTAAGAAATATTCATTATGATGGGCACTAAAAAATTTAAATGTGACATAAACCAATTCAATTCTGGCTCTGTTACATTTTAACAACAATCCCCAATCCGTATTTCTCAGATTTCTGGAATCTGAAGGTGAAAACATATATAAGTGAAGTATCACTCACCTGATTCCTGTCCCTGGCATTTGCATATCTGAACCTCTGAATGTAGTAGAAGACCAGCCATGCTAAGGAGATGATCATCAGCACAATGAAGGAGATGGATACAAACACCACAGAAGTACGACTAACATACTTCTGCAGGTTACGGGTTCCCACCGTTATGTGCATCATTACAGTAATATTCCGCTCCAGTAGGCTTACTATTTCTTTTCCCTTTGGCTCAGGGATCATTATCGCCACCACATCATCAATACCTATCAGAAAAGAAAGAACTATTAACAGAGAAATGCTTCAAGTGATCCCCAAAACAATTTTATTTTCTTCAAGAATGATATCATCAGTGGAAAAGAAAATACAAAAACAATACAGTCAAAAGTCACCAACTGCTTACCAGCTTTCCGTTTTTATTCCCCAAAGGGGTGAGATCGAAATATAAGACCGTTTATTATAATTTTGTGATTTTCTGTGAGTTTTATGAGACAAAATGAATTGCTTAAGTCTCACTAAAAATACCTTCCAAGTTGGATTCTTTGGGAATATGTCTCAGAAAATCTAATTTTGTACATTTTAGCAATTACTTGCTCATCAGTACACAACTGTCAAATTGTGACTTACTTTGCTCCATATTCTAAATCAGAGTTCCCCAACCTTTTCAGACCAGCGGGGAGGTGGGGGGGAGAGGGGATGGTTCCATGCGCGGGGCGGGCAAGTGTGCATGCACAGCTCGATTTGCATAAGTGGAGATTTGGAAATAGAATATGTGTTCATGCACTTGCCCACCACTTCCGCTGCTCAATTCCAAAAGACTCAAGGCCCGATAGTGGGCCGCTGCCCAGGGGTTGGGGATCCCTGCCCTAAGTCTTTATATTCATTTAAAAATCTTTCAGATTCAGATATAAATGGGAGATTGATTACAACTATATCCTTCTACTATTAATTATTTTCTTGATTTTATTGCCATATAAAACCTCATAATGTCTTCAAGAGAACAAACATTGTTCAGTTTCTACAAAGGTAAAGGTGAAAAAACTAACAGCTATATCTGAGATCAGCAACAAGCATAGTTCATAGATGTAGGATCTACCTTAAGAGTTACATCTTGTTCCCAAATATCTATTTGCAAATAGAATTTATCTTTGCTGATATATCTACGTAGAAGTACAAAAATTTCTGCTTCAGTTTTTTTTCTTGCTGATGTTTCTAGTAAAATTTTTAATAAAATTTTAAAATAATAAGATAAAAGCTAAGACAAACTAATAATAAGGGGGGAAAACAGAAATAAAAAACAAAAAGTGCAAGGAAAAAAAATATAAAGAAGTGGCTTCTGATATTCTTCACAGTAGTTATAAGTACTAATATATTTCCAACTCTCTCTCTAAAGTTACATTATCTTCTTTCTATAAACTATCCTGTCTATTTATCAAAACCATGTCACAAGTTAATTGTATTTTCATTTTTACACTAAAAGTCTATAAGAGGGATCTAGTTAGCAGTAAACAAAGATAATATTTTTTCTATAATTAAAGAAGCTAATTTTCTCATTTCAGAAAATCTAATTTTGTACATTTTAGCAATTACTTGCTCATTAGTACACAACTGTCAAATTGTGACTTACTTTGCTCCATACCCTAAATCAGAGTTCCCCAACCTTTTCAGACCAGCAGGGAGGTGGGGGAGAGAGGGGATGATTCCATGCGTGGGGCAGGCAAGTGTGCCTGCACAGCTCGATTTGCATGAGTGGCGGACATGTGTGCCCACAAATAGAGTATGTGCGCATGCACTCGCCCACCACTTCTGCTGCTCAGTTCCGAAAGACTCAAGGACCAATAGTGGGCAGCTGCCCAGGGTTTGGGGATCCCTGCCCTAAGTCTTCATATTCATTTAAAAATATTTCAGATTCAGATGTAAATGGGAGAATGATTACAACGATATCCTTCTACTATTAATTGTTCTCTTGATTTTATTTTAAATTCCCCTTCATAATTTTTCAACAAGTCTTGGTATGTAAATCATTTATCTTTATCTGTTATTTCTGTATACTATGCTAATATCCATAAATGTGTTTTTGAGCATAACGTGGGGTTATATCTATTCCATATTCTCACAGTGGCACATCTAAAAAATTATTTTTTCAAGACCATAATAACTTTAACCCACCATAAATATCCATGCCATCCAACATCAGGTAGTGACCGTCTACTTGTAAACATCTCATGTTTTTCAGCAACATCTGTTCTTTCATCCAGACCATACAATAAGCAGTAAAATACAGTTTTAAATTAAGCAAACCCAATCCTTATCTTTCCTTTGCATTAACTCTTTGAAACTTACATTGACCTCTATGAATAAAATTCTGTAAAATTATTGTTAACCTTTCAGCCAAAATCATAGCAAATCATTTATAATCATTATTCAATAAAGACACTGTTCAATCATTTTTGTTACAGTCAAATTTGTCCTTCTTTAGGTATTAATGTTAGAGTCTTCACAACTATCAGGAATCTTTCCATTTTGCAAAATAGTATTCATTATTCTAAAGTTGTAAAAACTCATCCTCAAAACATGTGTAATAAGAGCAGGGGTGGGTTCTATTTACCTTTACTACTGGTTCGCAATGGGAACAGCTTCTGAGCATGGGCAGATCAGTGGTGGGTTGCTCCCGGTTCGATCCAGTTCTATAGAACCAGTAGTAAAACCGGCGGGAGGCTCCGCCCACCCACCACGATGTCATCAGCAGAAGCACGCATGCTCCCACTGCAAACCAGTAGTAAAGGTAAGTGGAACCCACCCCTGGTGCAGATCACCCGTGATGACATCGTGGCGGGTGGGTGGAGCCTCCCACCGGTTTTACGGTTCTATAGAGCTGGACCGAACTGGGAGCAACCCACCACTGAATAAGAGGCCAGCAGCCCATCTAAACCAAGTACCTTTTCTGTTTTAATCTTTTTGATAGCTTCCCACAGCTCACTTATTATTATAGGTCCATTAAAAATTTATCTCAGATTGTCTGTTGGCTTAGGTAAATATAGGTTATATAACTATTCCAAAGAAATCTCATGACATTTATGTAATGAGACCATTAAATGGCTCATGTGAGGTGCTGTTGCTGGAGCGTGAGGTGGGAGTGATTTTATTATATTAATTTATTATATGACTCTTCTTTTATTAATTTTATTGTTGTTATATGAGGTTTTATATTCTGTAAGCCGCCTTGAGTCACCATGTACAAATAGGCAGCAATATAAATTCCCTAAATAAATAAATAAATAAATGTATACTGATAAAACATTCTTCACATATTCACATTATCTGTTATGAAAGTATCCCCTTCTTATAACTTTAATATCATTTTTCTTTTCACAACTTATACAGTGGGGCAAAAAAGTATTTAGTCAGCCACCAATTGTGCAAGTTCTCCCACTTAAAAAGATGAGAGAGGCCTGTAATTGTCATCATAGGTAGACCTCAACTATGAGAGACAAAATGAGAAAACAAATCCAGACAATCACATTGTCCGATTTGGAAAGAATTTATTGGTGGCTAACTAAATACTTTTTTGCCCCACTGTACATCAACTGTTTCCCTGGTTTATTTGTAAATTCAAAATTTCTTTGTTTTGCATAACATAGCTTATTTCCATCTTCTCCCTGTTAATATAATTTGGGGCATAAATTCCCAATATCAAAGTCTTAGCTCTTTGTAGGTTCTACTTTCATGCCAGCTTCCATCCTAACAAATCCAATATAAATTTTGGATATAGTTGAAGGTTTGTATATAGAACAACTCCATTTGTTCTTCAAATCTGCTTAAATAAAAATTCCTCTCCCAAATATTTGTAAATTAAATATTTTATATCTTTTTTTCCTAAAATATATTTCTTGTATAAATCACACCTTGTTTTAACTTATTTAAATAGTGTAATATTTTTTTCTGTTGTCCCATTTATATTCCATGTTAAGCATTTATAATCGAGCACCCAATGTAGTCTTTTTAAATGTCTTTTTAATGTTGTAGCATTTATTCAATCTCATCTGCCATTGTCACTTCCCTTTGTATTTCCTCTAAGTCTTCTTTAAAATTTTTCAAAAAAACTTGCTTTTTGCACAGAATTCAACCTAAATGCCTGCTGTTTGGAAAAAAAAAAAAAAACACTTCTTCCAGCTTATCCCACCTAAATGGATTTTTTTCTGTTTAAGATTGCCTATCAGAAAAAAGTACTTTTTTTGTTTTATGTAATATTCTAATTGGGATTTCTTAAGCAGAATTACATCTCTATTATCAATCCTCTATCTGGTATTAAAATGCTGCTGTAGAACTTCATGTTTTGTTTTCTTCCTAACAAATTATAAAAGGACATCCCTCGGAACATTTTTTAATTTTGCAAAATGCATAATGATCCTATAAGACTTACCAATCTTTGTATCAATATTATCCTCCTCCCAGTCCAGAAATTCAAAGAATTTAATTATCTTTTCTCTAATATCCTCTCCATGTTCTTCTGAAATTGCTCTAAATCTTAAACAAAATTCTTTTCCCCTAAGCTCCAAAAATACCAAATTGTCTAAAGTCCTCTCTATCTCTCTGTTTATAAATTCTGTTTTACTTTTCAAGACTTCCACTTTTTCAGTAGTTTGCTTTAATGTGCTGAGTAAGTTGCTGAACAGATTTTTCATTTTTCTTAACTTCTTCTTTCAGATCTTTTTTAATACTTGCGAAACGTTCTTCCATTTTCATTTTAACTGTTGTAGTTATATTTTTACCAAATTATTCAAACAATTTCTGCAAAAAGTCTGATGAAATGCCCTTATTGGTAAGTTGTTCTAATGAACCCTGCATCCTTCTCCCAGTTTGGCAGATTTTTTTTTTTTTTTTGTGGTTGCCATGGTTAGAAAGTGAAAGCACAGTATGCCAGTTACTATGGTGAGAATAAAAGGCAACGTTTTTTTCAGTTTTGTTTTTTCTGAGTCTATTAGTCTATTTAAGTAGTCAGGTTTCCCAGGTAGGTACAGTCTGTTAATCTAATTAAGTTTACTATATTCAAAGATACTTTTGTCAGAGAAAAAAACCCCATTTTTAAAAATCACTGTCTCTGTTTTCAGTTTGATGTTTTCTAATATCACAATCTCATCAAGCTTTTTGTCTTGAAATTAAAATTCTTTAAAACAGAATTCTTCAGACAAAAAAGTCACAATCACTGAGATTATTTAATCGTCACTGGTGTTCAGAATATCTATCTTAGGTTGTAAAACAGTTA